GGCCGCCCGCTGCGAGGAAGGCCTGTCCGACATTCGCCGTGCCCGCGGGCAGCTTCGCCCCGACCGCCTCCCTCGTTGGAAAGAGCTGGGTGACAACGCCATTTCTGTGGGGTAGGCTTCACCAGGAGGAGATGGCAGCAACGTCTACCTCACCCAGTGGTCGCAGGACTTGAACCCGTTAGGCCACCGCGTGGGTTCGGTAGCTACGCATCATCTCCTCCCTGACCTCCCAGAGAAGTGTAATCTCTGGGGGCGGCGACGACGACGCCGACGACGACGGCGACGGCGCCGACGACGACGACGACGACGACGACGGTTTCTCAGCTCTTTGAAGGGGCGGCAGGTCACGGCGTGGGCGCCCCTCGGACGTCGGAGCGTTCCACGGGATCCTGTCCCAGCTCCCGCGCAAGAGTCCAGCCGATACCCTTACTTCGTTGCTCTTCCCCGTGCCTCTCCATAATTACACTTTTGGCGCTCCGCGCGGATCTCTTGGATCGGCGCTGGGGCACCTCCAGCGGCGCCTCCGGCGCCGCTCCTGGCGCGCACCGCGCGCCAGGGCGGGGGGATCTAGCGCGGATCCAGGAAATCCGTGCGGAGCGTCAAGAGTTTATGATTATTATGCCGTTTTTTCTTCTTCTAACTCGTCCCAGATGCTTCCACGGTGGCGCAATTCCTGGACCTACGGAGTCATCCGCTTTTCTCGGGTAGGAGCATGCCGCCATGATCAAGAACATCCGCCCCTTTCCGCAGCCAGTTCACTACGCACTTCGAGGGCTGCGAGGACCACGGCATGTACGTCAAGGACTTGTGTGCTTCCGCATTGCACGCACGGGCTCTCCCCCTGCGATCGTCTTTCTGCACGCGTCCTTGTTCCAGGCTCCCAGCTCTGCCATCATCATCGCGGACGCGCCGACTGCGCTGCTCCCCAGTCTCATGAGCAAGCGTGTGATCACGGAGTTCTGTATGTTGCAGGTCCGCGATCCTATTTTGAGCGCTGGTGGCACCGCCGGGTCGAGTCCCCCAGGACATCTGTCGAGGTCTGCCTCCCGCATGGCCCTTCACCACGGGGAGCGGAGTTTCTGGTCCGGAAGTTGAAGCGGCTGTCGCTCGCCCCAGAGACGCTTCTTTCGGCGTCACCCCAACATACTAATACTACGTGTGCTTCGCCCCCCAAGGGGCGTCGCGCCCACGGAGAAATCTCATATAATATTCGTCGTGGCGGGCGCTTCCTGGCCACACCGCTCGAGAAACACCATATGCTACGACGTGGGTGCGCTATAGGTTTGGGTCGGACGCGCGCCCCCAAGTAAGACATATAATATTTGTACGGTATGTCCCTGTTCGTCCCACTGTTGGGAGCAAGGACTCGTACATAGCGGACGACGCCCACATTCTGGAGTGCCCGTCGCCCGCGGTGGTGGGACAGGGCCGGCCCGCCGCGCTACGGAGCCTGGTCCCTGGCGCCGCACAGTGCTCCGATCTGGACGGAGGCGTCGCTCGACACCCGGGTGGAGCTGCTGGGCCAGCTGTGCCAGGAGGGCGAGCTCGCCATCGTCTCGAAGATCCGCTGGAAAGCAAGCCGATTCAGTGGCCGTCCCTTTGTTCAGCCATCTTCCATCGGCTACACGCAAGAGTGACCTCTCGCCGGAGTGGCCTGTGGTGCGGGCCCACTGGGGCACCCCGACCGCCGAACGCGATGCGGCAGGAGCGTCTTGCGCTCTCGTGCTTGGTCCCCCCGCAGTCCCCAAAAGGCCGCGCACCAAAGGTCACTCCTACCCAGGGTCACCCTTGCGTGTAGCCGATTCCACTTCGGCCGCCCCTGCGGCCTCACGGCGTCGCCAGGGCACGGCCGGACGTGCGCCGAGGCTGGTGGGCCATGCCGCCGGGGTCCGCATCAACGGCGAGGCGGGGCTCCAAAACGAGAGCATCGTCGACGCGACTCTTGCCCACGTGTGCAACAGCACGGGTATACATATGTCGGCTTATGGTGGTTGGGCAATCCACCGTGCGTGTCGGCTTCTGGAAGCATTCGGCTCCATCGGGGCGAGCTCGTCTTTATCTTTGCATCCCCGCGGAGGTCGCGGAGAGCCATGAGGCTCTTCACGGTGAAGCTCTTGAAGTCGGGAGCGACTGGCCGTCTATCTCGGTGCGGAATGACCTGCTGGAGGCGCGCGCCCGCTGACGGGAAACAAGGGGCAGGTTGCCCCAGGCGATCCCCTGGCACTTGCGTATTCGGGGGGTCGTCATTGCATGCCGAACGGCATGCAGATGCTTGAGTTGGATGGTTCTACTGGTTGGCTGCTGGACCTCGACATCTCCCTCCGCTGTCCCCGTTGGTCGCCGAGCCGAGTGCTCTGCTCCAGGACTCCATGGTCGACGCCGGCGGGAACGTCAGGAATGCAAGTTCCTCGTCGTCTTCATCTGCATGTCGCTCTTCCCCTTCGCTGTCTTCTCCGACGCGCTGGCCCCCTTGCCCTCCACCGTGGCCTCCGGCCGCCCATCGTCGCCATGCCAGTCTATTTGCCCCCCCCAGTGCTCTGGGTGGCGGTGCCGACGATCATTCCAACCGAGATGTGCCGGCGCACGCTATTCTTCGATGCTCGTTTTGGGGACCTTCCTGGGGCCCACCTAATGGATCTGTTCGACTCAGGTTCGACTCAGGTTCGACTCAGGTTCGACTCAGGTTCGACTCAGGTTCGACTCAGGTTCGACTCAGGTTCGACTCAGAATCGACTCAGGTTCGACGCAGCTTCGACGCACGAGTGGAGCGAGTGGCTCCAGGAAGGTCCCCAGAATGAGCATCTAACTCTTCCACGGTTGGCGCTTCTCCTCCGGGCGGCGGGCCGCGGGCGAGTCTGGGGCACCCTGGGCGCCCGGGCACCGTGCCTGCCCTGCCGGCAGGGGCGCCGGCGCCCCCCGCGGGGGGGAGCCCAGCCAGGCCTTCTGCGGGGCGGTGCCCCGGCAAGCCTTCCATGGAGGAGGAGGAGGAGGAGGAGGAGGAGGAG